TTAATTTTCTAGTTTAATATAAAAAAATAATAATAATAATCCAAAAGACTAAAGAACACTTACAGATAATAATAGAAGGAGTTAAACGATAAGAAGAAAACAATTGCAGCAAAGAGAAGAATTCATGCGTGGCATTAAACGGAAATTATCTTGCAATTTTGTAAAAAGAAAAGAAAATTTACACGAAAAGTGTCTATATAAAAACCAAATATTGCAATTCCAACATAACATGTAATAAAATCTAATTTTATAATCGTATTATTTTTATTTTTAAAGAAAACCGAGAAAGTGATAATACACTTGATTCTAACCATTGAGATCTTAAATCTTTTATTATAAACTTCACAGATAAATAAATAAATATTAATTTTAAAAAATAATAATAATAATTTAATACCTATTTTTTTTAAAAAAATATTGATATTTTATATAAGAACAAATTAATAATTTTTACTTAAATTAATATTTTGTAAATTATGTTTACTTTAGTTGTTTTAATTGTCTGTGTAAGATATTCCTGCTGCTGTTAAGGTTATATTAAATTATTTTAATTAACGGAAGAATCATTTCTCGTAATTTTATGGATTAAGAGAAACTTATTTCTTTACTTAAAGTAATATAAAGTTTTCAATGTCTTTCTGGTAAATGAATTTATTTAATAATAACGATTAAAATTTCAATTAATATATTTTAATTGAATAAATAGAATTCTATGCGCTTTATAAATACAAAAATAGTGAAGTCGGGTATTTAGTTTGAAATAAATTTAAAGTTTATTGTTTATTGATAAATTTAATGTATATCATTAGTATTATTATTATTATAAATGCGTTGGGAAATTACGATAAAAATTATATATGTATACAATAAATTACGTGTAAGTGATATCTTCATAGAAGCTAAATAAATTATGCATTATATTTCAAAAATCTAAAGCAAACAGACAAATACCGAAGAATTATAAAAAAATTCATTAAAAAATTTATTAATATAATTAAAAATTCTCTTTTTATTACAAAGAATTTGTATGGTCTGAGATATTAAGAGGCCTGAACACTTCTTACTCTATTGAAGACCATACTGAGTCATTCAATAAAAAGGCCTTCAGTATATAAGCGTCAGTATATTAAATAAAAAAAAGAGCATTAAAAATTTACGTTTGTCAAATTTTATTTTTTAATTAATAAATAAAAAATAAACAGTATATTGAGAGTATATTAAATGTGTGTGACTTGAATCAAATTATCTTCATGTATTTTATTTTAGATTAGGCATTTAGTGTGTCAAAGTAGCATAATTTAGCAGGAAGATGCACACGAGAAGCACGATACTAAAGTACAATAAAACACTAGTCTGAAACAATTGTACGAGCTTTCGTGAAACCATGGTTAAATCATTTCACCTGTTCTCCTCAATAAGTGTGTTGGGGTTGTATGTTTCTTTATCGAAAGAACTGTTTCCATTGATATAAACGGAATCTTTGCCTCATATAAAAGAATAAAATCAGCGGTTTTCGATTCAGATTTTTATCGATTTGTCCTTCTTACAATCGTTTAGAGAGAAGAGAGAATTCAATACTATCCTGCTGACACGGCTGAAAGAGAGACATACGGGGATGGTATAAAGACGAATGTTACCATTAATATCTATATGTTTCATCAAGAACACGATAATGAAACAAATATGCTTAACTCACATTTATTTATTTACAAAAGATGTAGATCATGATACAGAACAATATCATGATCTATATCTAGTTAATTTCTCTTTGTGAGGAAATATCTCCGGATCAAAATAATCGATCTTAATGGACACTTGACCTCATTTTTTACTGGATTATTTTCAACTTTTAATTCACAGCTAACTTTCATACTGTAAAATTATTATTTAACTCGAATATTAAAATTTAATAGTATATAATTTCTAACGTTATAATATATTCTTCTTCCATGAAATCAAATTCGAAAGTGATTCTGAAAGTTAAATTCTGAAAGGAAATGTTGAGAATTATAGCTACATAAAACGATTAGGCAGACAGACTGTCAATTGAAGATTGCATTAGAGAACTCCCGCTGATCTTAAATTATATCATAATTAAATCAAAAATATCTTCATTTTGGTGTAGAATATAATCGTTATCACAGATAATTTAGAATTTCGGATATTTTACGGGTTTTACTTCAGAATATAATCTGAATAAATGGATTTATAGTTAAACTTTTTAATGTTTCTTATGCGATTATTTGATGATAGCATTTGAAGCTTAAATTATGTTTATAAATCAAAGTTTATATTTTAATATTTATATTTTTAGTGTTTATTTATTATAAACATGAATTTTCATCGAACTATACGAACAGAAGCTTACGAGTTGCCTAAATTCCCCGGCAAAAAACTAAAAATTATGTGTATCGTCATTTGTAATTAGATTTTATTTTAAGAACTTTTATATTATTAATTATTATAACATAGCAAGAAGCTTTATTTGAGAGTAGAGATGAGTTTTATAAAAAAGAAAAAGTTGTAAATGCTAATAAGAAGTAAAGACTTCATCGACTCCACACAAGATATGACGTTTGAACTCCTCTCTATCTTCCCATCTTCTCTACCTTTAGCTACCAAAATTTAACAAAATCAATGCTCCTAACACAAAAACTTCTGTGTAAAATTTAATAAATTTTCGACAAAAGGCACAAGAGTTATTAAGCTTTAAATTAGTTGAAGAAAAACATGCCTGACACACACACAGACACATTTACTGACATTCCTACATACAGAAAAAAAAACCTTCGAATTTTTTTTATTTTTGATTTTTTCAACATTTCAAGGTTCCTCAAGTCCAAAATATATAAAAATTTTGGGGTCATTTCTTGATCGATTGCCATATTTTCCCTCTGTCTATAACAGTCGTGAAAGTAGAAATGGTAATTAATCAGTTATAAATATTCTTAATTAATTAAATTTAATTAAAATTGTTTAGTATAAAAGTAGAAAAGTTTGTGATAAATTTTAAATTAAAATAAAAAAAAATAGAAAATAACTTTACGTCATAACGAATTTTTTAAATAAAATTCTTGAAAGAAATTCATCAAAAGTGGATTGTAGGTTGCAAAAGTTTTCGATTAAATAGCAAAAATGAATGAGTACTTTTGAAAAAAGTTAATGGATTGATCTAAGTTTCGACTATTTAAATAAAAAATTAGCATAAGTCAATTGAATACATCAAAGTAGACGACTAAAATAAAATCGATAATCTTCTTAGAATGTAATTTATCAGAATATTGGAATGAGCTTTCCAGTTAAATATTAGACATAAACTCCTTTGAGATTTTACAGAATATTTTAGAATTATTATATAATATTGTAATAATTCTAATATTTTTACTTATCGGCACGTATTTAATAATTTGAATAATATTAGAAAAGAGAAGAGTTTTGTTTATATTGACGTAAGCAGGCAATTAAATAAATATTGCAAAAAATTAATATTTTTAATATTTCACTGACGTAAATTGTTTATTATTTAAGCTCAGGTTGAATGTCAGAATAGAAAATTTGAATTTCTTAAAGGGTCTATATTCAATAAACATCAATAAATATTCTCTTCATACATTTTGGAAATGTTAAGAAGACATAACCCATGCCATTTAAAAATATTTTAAAACCATTATTGATTTTCTTATTTTGTAAAAAATAAAGTAATTAAATTTTTAAATTATATACATTTTTATATTGAATTTGCACAGTATTTGAGAAGGAAAGTATTATATTTTTTTATTTAAATAGACTAATTAATCTATGAGTGTTTATATAATTAATACAATATATATAGAAAATACATTTAATACTACAAATTTGATCGTAATTCCTGTTTCTTGACTATTTATAAATGCATAATTAATTAAGAAGTTACTTCTAAGCGCATCACTTGTAAGTGTTACGTTGATTATAATAATAATAATTGATAGCTAAATGAGAATTATTCTTTAGTTATTAAATTATAATTTACTAAATATGCCTGTCGTAAATATTAACAAGTTTTCTTAAGTATTTATTTAATATTTACATCATAATCAGACTCTAATATTACCCTTAACAATGTATTAAGATTTGTATATTTTAAATTATGAGTTACATTTTATCAGCTCCTAGATAATTAATAACTTATATAATGAACAATTAATTACCGTATACATCCAGCTTAAAATAGCTATCATTTAAATAATGAGTAATTATAAAATTTTGAATTATTCTCAGTCCATAACTATTAAATTTTATGCTTAAATTTAATGTTTGTAGGAGAGTATATTAAATGTGTGTGACTTGAATCAAATTATCTTCATGTATTTTATTTTAGATTAGGCATTTAGTGTGTCAAAGTAGCATAATTTAGCAGGAAGATGCACACGAGAAGCACGATACTAAAGTACAATAAAACACTAGTCTGAAACAATTGTACGAGCTTTCGTGAAACCATGGTTAAATCATTTCACCTGTTCTCCTCAATAAGTGTGTTGGGGTTGTATGTTTCTTTATCGAAAGAACTGTTTCCATTGATATAAACGGAATCTTTGCCTCATATAAAAGAATAAAATCAGCGGTTTTCGATTCAGATTTTTATCGATTTGTCCTTCTTACAATCGTTTAGAGAGAAGAGAGAATTCAATACTATCCTGCTGACACGGCTGAAAGAGAGACATACGGGGATGGTATAAAGACGAATGTTACCATTAATATCTATATGTTTCATCAAGAACACGATAATGAAACAAATATGCTTAACTCACATTTATTTATTTACAAAAGATGNGACTACCCTAAAATATATAATTTATTATAAATTATATTAAAGAAATTACCAATATTAACAATTAATATATAACATTTTATATTTGTGTGTGTTTTAAATTTGTAATAATTTAAAAATTAATAGGAAAAAAAGCATTATAAGAATAAGATATTTGTAAAATTTTATAATTTATTTCCTATTTATTTTATAGAAATTGTTGAGAATGTTCGAAATGGGCAGAAACCATCATTAAGACCGCTTTTAGATGAAGACATTTGCGACGAAGAATTGGTGCAGATGATTAAGAAGTGTTGGTCTGATGATCCGGCAGAAAGACCAGATTTTCAAGCCTTAAAATCTATTATTAGAAAACTTAACAAGTAAGTCACAGTTTAATTTAAATTTATTAGCATTATTTATATAGTTTTAAAATATTTAATTTAATCATTACCGTAAATTAAGATCGAACTCGCATGATGTGTTCAATATATATATATAGCATCCCCATTATAACTCTACCTTCAGTTATCTCGTTTGCAATTTAGAAATATTAAATACTTTGTATGATAAATTGATAAATTAAACCTCAAGCTAATTATATCCAATTCATATTTGATGTTCCAGATTGTTTCAATATTCTAATTATAATTTAAAATAAAATATAGCCTAATGTTGTATAACTTTTAATAATATAAACAATATATTATACAAATATCATTGTTTTTCATGTTTCTTTTTATTTTCCTCATAAAAAAATAATGAAATAAGGATATAAATTTCTTCGTTTCACTCAGTCAGTAGGTTGAGTTTTAAGCTACAAGCCTACTGTTGTAGGAAGCCGGGTTCGAATACCATCCGTATGACAGAATCTAAATAATTCATCATGAGTAGCGGGGTTGGAGATCAGGCCCACCTGTAGTGGGCATAATTGTAGCTGGCTACAATTATGTTCGCTACAGGTTACCAGCGAACTGTGATGCATAATTGGGCACCAGCACATTGTTGACATAATTGTTATGCCAGCTACAATCATGCCAATAATATTTTGGTGACTTCGTTAATCAGAAAAGAACAATGCTTTAATCATTGTTTATTTTTTATTTTAAACGTTTTCAAGGGTTCTCAATCTTTATTGTTTATTGACCCTTCCAACACTAGAATTGATACGCCGACTCCTTACTATACTAACACAAAAGAAGAATAAATTAGAAATAGGATGAGTAAAAACTCAAATAATAATAGGAAATATTTTCTTATTAAACGTAAATCAAAGTCAAAATTGCGTGTTTTAGTTAAGTAAAATTTAAATATATAATTTATCAATTGTTATTTTTAAAAATATTGTTTTAAATAAAATATAAAAATCAATAAGTAGCCAAAATAAACAGATCCCAAACGACCCCTAGCAATTTATCGATCCTACAGATAAAGCAACGGACCTCTTGGGGCTAAGTTGGGCCAGCGACTAAATTGGAAAATAACAATACAATAGTTAGATTCCATAGAGTAAAAATACTGTATTGAAACGAAAACAAAACTCCATTCTTTCAACTGATTTTATGGCATTGGCCAAATACTATTCACATTTTCTGAATTAGTGTAACTGAAGAGAGGGAGAATAATAGAAAATGAGGAAATAAACTAAAGCTGCACTCTTTTACTTATAATACAAATTTGTTTATATGGTTTAATCTGATTTAGATAACATTTACAATACCTATACTTGGCTTACTTTGTACAGTTTTTTTTTTTTGGTTATATAAAATTTACAGTGACTTAATTTATATTTTATTCTCTAGGAACTTCCCATTACTGTTGGCTTGCTTATTCAAAAATATTTGTTCACATCTTTCATTTTTTTCTGTTTATTATATTCTCTTCACTCAGACCTGTCTTTTCCATGTTCTCCTTGACCTTTACCATCTATTTTATTCTTTGTCTGTCTCTCCCCCTGCCTGTAATTTCTAGTTCATAATCATTTTAGTATTTTTTTTTCTTCCATCCTTTGTATATGGCCATACCTTTTTAAGTTCACACATAACCTGACAGCCACACCTTTGAAAGCATAAGGTCTGGAAAAGTCACCCAAGGCGAAGCTCAAAGGAAAGTGGCTAAGTTTTTTGGTAGTAGGTTTCCAGCCAGGCCCGCTTCTTGACTAATTTTTAAACGAATTTCCTGCTATTGGAACGGGAAATAAGTAAAACTAGATAGAAATAGTACTGGAAAATGAATAGGAGAATGAATTTTGGATTTTGGAATATACAAGGACTTGCAAGAAAAGTTGGTCTCTTACAACCAGAACTAAACAGGTGTAATTGAGATATAATCATTTTATTAGAAACATAAAAGGAGAAGTAAAAAGATCTCTGACGATTACATCAATTTCTGGAGTGGAAAAAAGACTTGGAGCAAGCATTCTAAAGTTTACATAATAAATATATTGTTATATTTTATAAAATTTTATTTATAGATCATAATTAGGGGTTTCAAATTTACCGCTTTCTTATTACAATTAAATGGCAAATTTTCAAAACTTTACCGGTAATTTTTAAAATTTGACTCTAAATTTAAAAATTAGTGCACTACTTGCCTATTCGCCGATAAGTGGACAACTAAACAACCTGTGCTTTGCTCAAAAATTTCTGAAATTTTTCAGGAAGGTTTGTCTATTAGGAGGATTGTTACTGTTAAATTTTGGTGATTAAAGGTAGACGGGGTGAGGAGATAAAGGAGGTCGTATGTATCTTCAGTAGAATCGGGCTTAATGACGACTTTACTCGTTATTAGCATTTACAATTTAAAAAAAAAATCCATTTCTACTTTCAAAAGTAAGTTTTAGGGTCATTTTATAATAATTAAAAATATAAAACGTTCTAAATAATAAAATATCATACCAGATGGCGTCACACATGCAATTTTAAATGTTGCCGGGAAAGTTAAGCAACTCATTGCTGAATTTGTTATATTTAGAAAAGCCTTTCGCTTTTCTAAATATAAAATTTCAGAACATTTTGTAATTATTTGTTTAATTGTATTAATTAATTGTATTTGCTAAAAAATTACAGAACATTTTGTAATTTTTTAGCAAAAAATGGCCAGTACGAATGCATACATACATACATATATATAAATGTATGTAAAAGTGTATAAAAAAATACTTGGCTTTAAAAAGTATTACGTGTCTACCTACTTTTACCAAATTTACTGGTAAAATACCTTACGAACGCATTTTTAACCTGATTACCGGTAAATCAGTTAACCGTTTACAGGTACTCCAATCCCTCGTTATAACGCATTGTTCAATTTATTAATTTATGTGTTGTGAGTATTTTAAATACAAAAAATATATTTATGTTTGAAAAAAAAAGTTTTATTTAATAATAATAATAATTGTTCAGTTTGTGGAAATAATCGTGTTTGGATGTTTAAAAAAGTAATAATAAAGTTACTTGTCTATAAAATTTGATGGTTTTCTTCACGGTTTTTTTCATAAATAAATGTTTTATATTATATATATTAACAAATAAGTAAATTAAATATAAATTCAGAACTAGATAAACACTTGTTGAGGCCTTAAGCTATAACCCATAAGAGCTCCCTTCACCAAATAGTAATAAATTTATACCTTCAAGCTATAGGCTCGTATAGTCATATATAAAATAAGATTAACTTTAAGGAATGAAGTAGTTTTTATAGTATTTTATACTTATAACTATAGATAATTTCATATTGTATGCTCGAAAATGACTTTCATTATCAATAAATGAAATCCAACTGTATATAATTTTAATGCTGCTTTAATACTAAATATATTTTCTGAATATTATACAGATTACTCGAGTATCGAATAAAGAATATTATATTATAATAATAATCCAGGAGAAATGTGTAATTTCCTTTCTAAACGTATGAACTGATCATTTCAGTAGTAAAAGGAAAAATTCGTACTCAAAGCTGTTTTATTAGATATATATCTTACGCATATACACACGGACGTACTACAGAACACAATTTGAAATATAACGCAAAAAATAAGTGTTTTTTCGAATTCTTTACGTTTGTTATTGGACCTTATTCCATCTTATTCGTAGAATTTAGTAGTGTGAAGTAGCCTGTACAGAACAATATCCCACATTTTTATACGGTATATTATCAGAAATATTTATTTTATATTTATCGATCATTTCTAAATTGGCAGATAATAATTTGTAAGTTAATTTGAATTTTAATTTAAATAGGATTTTAATTAAATACACTGACAATATTCTAGAAACCTAAAAGAAAGATTGTTCGTGATTATTGTTGTTCACATAGAATAATTAGAAAAGGTATGTAAATCATAAGTTTGGAAGAAAATTATAAAAGAATTATCAACTTTTATATTACTACTACTGTATTAATACTATTTATTACGGTAGTATTACGAAATAATATAAAATAATACATAATTTTGCTATTAAATGTTTACAACATTCTAAAGCATTGTATATTACTTTTGAGAAATCGAACTTCTTCTTTAAGTATCTTCAAATAATAATATTTATTGTTAAATTCTAATTATGAGAAAGTAAATATATAATATAATATAAGAAACTTTAGTTTGATAACAATAAATATTCAATAATTAAGAAGAAAGTTTACATTATATATTACCATAACGAATTAATATGGAGAGAAGGAAATGTTAACTATATTTTGGGATAAAATGCATTAAATTTAAATTAATTTGAATAAATATGGATTATATTTATACATTACTTAAATTTCTAATCATATTAATTCAAAACAATATTATGAATAATTTAATCTTTTAGATTAACCTAAATCTTACTGTTCAAATGGATAGAATGTAAGAATCTTAAGAAAGGAAACATTTAGATGTTCAACTAAATAAATTTATTTTGCAATGAAGAATAAAATTTTAGCCATTCCACTAAAGAATATGATAAATTCATTGTAATTTACAAATAATTCAGAAGAAGAGAAATAATATTATGAGATTTTCCAAGTAAAAAGACTTTCCTAACAATTTATTTTATCGTTTTGTAATGCAGATATCTTGTTTGTATAGTCAGGTCGATGCCATTTGTTATATGTAAAATTTGTGCCTTTCAACTTGATTAAACTTGAATATTCTTAGTAAGAATATTTTCTATTCTTAATGAATTATTTCCTTTACATTATCGAATAAGAATTCATTAATTATAAATATTATGGCTTTCTTTCTTTTAAATTTTTTTCAATTTGGTGTTGATGTAGTTAAATAGAAATGCCAACAATAATTCTAATTTAATCATTATTCAAAGAAAAAGACGTTTAAGTTACTTCAAATATTTTATTTTTCAACATTAAAAGTGTTTAAAATAAATGTCTTTTAATG